TGTATTTGTGGTGGGGGGTGTCTCAAAAAAAATAAGAAAGCCTTTTTTTTTTTTTTTTTTTTTAAGGTGCTGTGAGGCTTCAGGATCCTTCCCGATTAAGATTAAAATTGTGGTTTCTGAACGTGAAGCGACCAAAGTAGATACTAATTTTCTCCTCCAAGACGAATGGGTTATTCGAAGTAGGGACACTTCCTTAAGACTCTACTCATTGTACTGTCAAAAGCTTGTGAGGGAGTCCGTGTTCTGAGCGTCAGGCTTGAAAAGACGGATGTACAGGCCCGATCAAGTCTTTTAATATAAACTGGCTTACAGTTGAGCTAATATTCTGAACGAATTTCAAGTTGGACAAAATAAGCAGCCAAAATTTTTAAATTAAGACATACACATTTTAGGTGTATGAGTGTGACTTCGTGTAAATCTATACCACAGTTGTGTGCTGTCCTTACAGGCCAAGAGTCATAGATGGTTGTAAGTCTCCAGGTAGGTGCTGGGAATCGAACCTACCTCTTCTGAAAGAGCAAACAGTGCTCTTAAGTGCATTGCCATATATGTCCAGCCCCAACCTATGTTTTATACTTAGACAAAACTTTAGAATGCTTTCAGATCTTTATACTACCCCATGTATTTAAAAAATATTTTCCAGGCAAAATAAGATTAGAGATATTTTTCTTTAGATTTCTGAAGTACATCGATGATTAATGCCATCCCACTGAGATTTCTGAAGTTTTAGCTGCCCATTTTTTGCATAAGTTTATAGTGTTGGGAAATTCAGTCGGAGTCTGGATAATTAAATCACTGTAAGCAAATCTCAAAATATCGAGTTACAAACTAGAGTGCTAATTTAACTAGCCATAAATATAACTGTCAAAATACTCCCTCTCCATCATTTGTCAGGGTTCTGTTGTAGGGGAGAAAAGCATGAAGGGACAGATACTGCCAAATAACCAAGTGAAAGACTATCATGAATCTTTTATGGAAAGAGAAATGGGCCTGAGGGATTTGGGGTATCCTTAAAGGAAATGGTGGTATCAGGCATTGATGTGAGCTAACTAACGTGGATGAAGAAACAGCTATTTGTGCTGTGAGAGAGGCACTGTTGACGGGTTCTCACTTTAACATTCTTTATCTGGAGTGAGTATAGAATGCCAAAAAAACTTAGTGACTAAAGACAAATTGGAATTAACCGAGGGGTCATTTTAGTTACATCATCATCTTAATCAGATAGGTAAAGCATTTACAGACTACCTCTAGACAGCTCTTGACTGTGGCTGGACTTGTTACTTGGGATGTTAGTGCTTTTGAGATTTGTGATGACACCTCACCATCAATGACACAGATGTTCAATTCCCCTTCTAAACAATGAATTTGGGTTGCTTTCTAAATGTTCTGTTTGTTTTTTCCTTCATGCCATATCTGTAATTGAATGTCAACTAATAAATGTCAAAGGTCACGCTCCATTTCTTTTACATTTCCAGCACATGGCCAGATGTGTCTAAGGAGAGAATAGTAATCGTTTTATCACTTGCAGTTATCAATATGTTTTTATGGGTACTAACTCACTTTTTCATAATGATCCTATGACACTGGCATTATTTCCATTTTACAGCTGACAAAACAGGCCAAGGGAAGTGAAATGACTTGTTTACTAAGTGGCTCTCTGATTTATGACTTCAATACCATTTCCTATTTTAAAATAGCCTATTTTTAAAATTCCTTTCAAAAGAGGGTAACCTAATTTTTCTTATCAAAACTTAATCTGTATTTCTTCCCATTGTTCTCTGTCATTAATGTCTGTACCTTGCTTGGTTTTTTTTCTTTTTTTTTTTTCTTTTTCTTTTTTTGGAGGTGGTCCTGG